GAGAGAGAGAGAGAGAGAGAGAGAGAGAGAGAGAGAGAGAATTGGCCCTAAATGAGTGAGTGAATGGGAGAGGGAGGGAGTTTGTCTGTGAGTAAAGTCTGTGATTAGGGAGGGGAGGGACAGCCGGTTTCTGACAGGCTGCTTTCCTTCTGCTCCTGCTCCCTCACACACACCTCTCTTCCAATATCACCAGTCTCAGGGGTTCTACATTTCCTTCTACCACACATTCTCCTGATTTTGTTCACTTCTGGTTTTTTATTCTTTTTTTTTTTTTTTTCTTCCTCTGCCCAGTTCCTTCGCTTTACCCTCTTCCTTTTTTGGAGGGGGAAACTCCAACAAAAGGCACAATCTCAATCCAAAACTCTGACTTGATAGTGAAGCCCCCCCACCGGCAGTCCCTACCCCCACCCTGGGCAACGCAGTGTCCAGCTGGCCAGGAAGGCTGGGTGACAGGTACCTGAGGACAGGGGACTGGGGCCCAAGGGCAGCCATTCATTCACCCCTGAAGAAGTCTGGAGTCAGAGGAGACTGCCATTCATTATATTGAAATGTTTAAGGTCCTCACCCAGGGGAAGGAAGTCTAACCAAACTTTTTGTTTGAAGGTCACGGAGTACACTCTGTGTTGCCCAGCTAAGCAGGACAGCGGGGCACTGAGGGATCTAAAGGGCAGGTAGCATTTTCCATGCCCAAGTCACAGGAGCTGCCACCTCCTCTCCCCTCTCACTGCCCTTCCCATGCTGGAGTGAAGAGACAGGCAGGAATTGCAGCCTACCACCCCTAGCCCGGACTTCGCAGATACAGTGCTAAATTCATTTGGCTTTTCCCAGATTCTTTCATAAAAGGAGAGTGCTCTCGTGACTTGAATAAATAGCCCTCTGGAAGAGGAAGCTCTAAAATATATGGGCAAATTGTTTTTATCTGTCAAATGATAGTTTTTTCAGCTTGTCCCCTACCCAGTCCTGACCAGTACATGCCCAGAGAGCCTCTTTGACAGCTTCGTTTCCCCTCAAAGGAACAGCACAGCTGAGACCATCATGGATTTTGGTGTGCCCAGAAAAAAAAATGTGAATTACCTTCCTGCTTTAAACAATGCCTGGGGCTTTTTTTTTTAATTCTTCTCCCCATTCTTTTTTTTTTTTTTTTCATTTTCTGTCTTATTTCTTTTATCTTGCAAAAGTATCTTTAAGAGTCCATCTGTTAAAGCTTTCCTTCCCTCTCCGTTTCTTTCCCACAAATAAGCCCTCTTAGTTTCTTTAGATACAGTCAGCTTATATCTGTCACCTAGTATGTTCAGAGCATTCCAGTCAAGCAATGCAGTTTGGGTGAAAAGAGTTAAAATGTATCATTACTGCAAGCATAAGATCTGAGTACAAGAGGAAATGAGAGATAAAATTGTGACACTAAGTAAAATTACAGTTACACAGGTAACAATCCTTTTCTGCATTGTGTATAATGCCTCCCCTTGCCAAAACAAGTATTTGTAAGACTTTCTCTGTTACAAGCCTAACACCTTTGAGGTTTCAGCTCCAGGACCATCAATTACTCTGCTATTATTGATAAAACTTTGTCCACGTTACCTAAAAGTCTCTTTTTCAATAAGTAAGGGCTGGTGAAAGGAAGAGGGAAGCATTATAATTTTTTAAAAAATATTTTGTACTATAATATTTAACATCACCCACCTTTTTGGAGTCATAGATGTAGTACCCAAAGAATTTTGTAGTCCAATTAAGTTTTATGAGGGTCTGAAGTAGAACTAAAAGTTTAATGACTCCAAAGAACTCAAGAGTCCTAAAAGTATCATTGAGATAAGTGCAACTTATCAATATTTGGATTCTTCCTGCATGTGAGTATGTGTGTGTTCTGTAAAATTTACTGTTTGCAAATGTAACTCTTAAAAATAGCTTTCTCTCTGGCATATGTACTTGTATATATGTGCTGAGTGGGTTGTATAAACACATAATCTATTTGCATGCTCTAGGACTATTAAAAGCTGTATTAACCTGCCTGAATAATAGGAAAAAGGTACAAATCACAATGCCCGGGGAAGTGCCAATAAGTTGTAAAATTCTTCCTAGTCATTCTAACTTGGAATGTGCAAAGCGCTCATAAGTAAGAATTAAAGAGCATTACCTTTCTGCTTGCTTCTCTCTCACCAGCCGGCTCCTGTATCATGTGTTAAGAGCTGTCTGAGCTCCTCTTCATGGTATTGGCACTGTGAAGTTTTATACTGTACTACTTATTTGTACACTAACACATTGGTACCTCTCAAAAGAGGAGGGCTGGGGCTTTGTTTGGGATTGGTTAGAATCAGCATGACATCAGCCGATGACTGGTTTTTCCAGAGTGAGACATTTCATAATTCATTATCTAATGGAAATCCCTCTTGCCTTCTGAGACACTACTGGGTCATGCACTGAGCCACTGACACCCCTGCCTGTGACTAGTCTACCTTTTACAAAGACATTGGAATCAAATAGATTTGTCTCAATGAGTGCCCAACTTTCAACTTTTAGTACTCACCACACGCACACACACACATACACACACACACCTCTTGTTCTATTCAGCTTCAGTTTTATGTCTTTACATAAAACAGCTGTTACTTCATGAAACTGCCTCTATTTACAGAGTACTTTATTGTTTTTCACAGAGAAAAAAATTTGTAGTGTTCTTAACAGGATTCTAATTTTATTTTATTTTATTTTAAATGAGCTATTTCATTGAGAAAAAATAGGAAAATATGTATATCCACATGAGGACGATCTCCCCTCTCCTGACACTATTATTTTACATCTTGAAATAGAACACTTTCTTCATAAATCATGTATCACTAAGAACTTGGGAAATACTCATTCTCTGCAAGTGAACTCATAAGTATCCTTCCCAGGTCTTTGCAATCCCATCCTAAGTAGCAAAACATTAAATTTTTTAAATCACGCAGTATTATTTTTTTTTACCCAGAACTTCAAGTCCAATGATGTCTAAATTGTTATAAATATGAGATTTGTGAAAAGAAGTGAACATCCCTTGAAAGAGGGGTACAGTTAGATTTCTAGGGGGGGGGGGGTTGGGGCACCGGTAAGTTTGGAAAATAACAGAGGAAGGATTCCTCAGACCAGAATGGTGGAGAAGGGATGTAGAGTAGAATTGAAGCACGAGCTGGGTTCTCATGACAAGTTGGATAAAATGTGCAAAATTGGGAGCTAATGAAAGCCATATGACCAGATATGTTGTTTTGTATGCAGGATTTAACATGCATAAAATAAACTTTTCACTGTGCCCACAAGCAAAATCTCAGGGCACTGGCTTCCCGGTGTGGGGCTGGGGCAGGTAGGAGACCAGAGGCTTGCTGTGGGAGAAGGTCTCCCTTGGCTTGTTACGGAGAAAGCGTGGGTGCTGGCTGTGAGGGCCGGGGGGGAGGAGAAGAGGAGTATTCTAAGAACTGCATATGCAGTACTCAAGTAGGAAATAAAGTCATTCCGTTGTAGGTTGTAGAGGAAGACAGGGAATGTGAGTGGCAAAGACAGAAATAGGATCTGTGACCATGAACTCCAAGCCTGCCCAGCAGTGCAGAGTTGCTTGAACTCAAACCCTTATCAGAAAGGAACTTCCCACTTTTTAAAAATGAGACCGAGTGTAGGGCAATGACCTTGAAGAGATCTAAACTCATCCCTTGCTTCATGTGTGAACCATCCATCGTGCCATGAAAGTCTTTATCACGACATGCGAGTCATGGGGTGGAAGGCACAAAACAAACCTGACCAGACCCCAGTGTCCTTCTTCCTCGCCATGGAAACTTGGGCCTCAGTGTTCCCATCTCTAAAATGGGATCCATAAGGTGAACTGCAGGGTCAAGAGCCGGACTCAGCCGATCCCTGATGCTATTTTGGAGCGGAGTGGTGGTTCTCTATAAACACCTGTGTCCTGGGAATGTGCAGCCCCTACCAGGATCCACTCCGCATTTGCCATTATGAGACCACCGCTGGGCAACCAACAGATGCCACAGAAGTGCGCACCTGCCCGGCTATCATGCTCCAGCTGGACCCCCAGCCCAGGACCCCCCAGTGGGAAAGCCTCCTCACTCACTCGGTGGACTCAAGGTGCGGGAGGTGGGGGAAGCAGGCGGGTTCAATTCGCTTCCCTGCAACGTCCAGCGCCCAGAATGGGATTTTCCTTGAGGAACTCAGGGAAGCGCTCAGGGTGTGAGCCTGGCAGCCCAGCTCCCCACAGCATCTCCTTTCTCCGGGCTCCTTCTAGTTTCTCTTTCACTTCCTGCCCCCTCCCCCAGGCGTCCCCAGCACCCAGGCCCTGGGCCCCGGCTTCTCCGCCTGCTACTGTACCTTGAGCAGCACCTGCTGGCGACTCCCAGAGATCACGCCGGAACGCGATGCCTGAGCCCACTCCAGGGCGCCTGCAGGGAGGGAGTCAGCGCCAAGCGGTTCCAAGCGGCCGCCTCTATTTTTACCCTGAGCACCAGCAAGGGCAACTTCTTTTAAGAGCAGCTCTTGATTTTTCCCCCCTTTTGGCAGCTCAAGAATTCAGGGAGGGGAATAAGGGGGGGGAAGAAAAGGAAAAAGAAAGAAAGAAAAGAAAAGAAAAAATCATTGCTCAGGGACTACAGTTTGGAAATCTCTGAACTCAGCCCGGACCCCGGGGAGCCGCACGGGGTCCCTAGGACCCGGGACGCGGGGCGCGCGTGCACGCTGCCCCCCACCCCCCACTGAGCCTGCACTGGGGTTCCGCAGCTACTGCGCCCGCAGGGTGGCCCGCTGCCACCGCCCCATTCACCTAGCGGAGGCGGGCTGATTTACTGGCTACTTCACAAAGCTTCCAACTCCAGGGTACAGCATATTTGTATGGCTCCGTGCAGCCACTAGCGAGCAGCTTGCTGCGACGGGGAGCCGGGAGGGAAACTGGTACCTTATTTTACTGTAATTGCAAAAGGAACGATGTGCCAGAGATTTATATTTAGAAGTTGTATGTTTCTACTTTTATGTAAATGGAGCAATTAGGGCCTGTCTTGCTGCCGCTAACTCCAAGGCTAGTGCCTCATTGGGGAGGTGGTGTTTTCAATCACAATTAGTGAGCTGGTCAGAAAACAAAGTTCCTTTGAGGATAAGAGCTCAATTGTGCGCATAGGGGAAGAGACCAGACTTCGGGTGGTGGCCTGTGGCTTGCAGGGTCGCGTACTTTAGGGACATCATAGCTAACCCTATAGTGTAGTAGTGTTTACTCTTGCAAACAGCTGTCCCCATACAAAGTTGGCATAGATCAAGAAGCAAGAATGTGCACTTTTCTTCTTGAGCAAACCGTATGTCCTTCGGCTTTCGTCCAGGCTATTAATTGGTGTCTTTGCTCGCTGCTCCTGGAACAAGGAGACAGGCCTGGAAACCGGGGCCATTTCTCATGGCTCTGTTATTTTAGCTGCTCCTCACGGATTGCTGTTATTCAGTCAAAAATGCAAGCCAGGAGACGTGCACACCCCAAGCAGGTGACAGGAAAGTTGTCCTCTGATTCAGCTAAATGACACAAGCAGGGGTTCAGAGGCACGGACATGGCTGCTGACGAGTCAGGGTGTTTTAGTTCTTTCTTATAAAAAAAAAAAAAAAATCTGTTTCCAGAGAGCATGATTTCTGCCTCATCCAGCCTGGGAAACTGAACATAAAACGTGACTATGGAGGAAAATCAAAAGGACTGGAGAGGTGTTCTCTGAAGCTGAGTGTTATTCTGGGCTCCAGCGGGAGGACCTGGCCTCAATGGTGAACAGTGGCTCCCTGGAGAGGCAGCTGAGAATCCAGAAAACATGGGCAGGACTGAAGAAGATGATATTTGCCTCAGTAGATTGCGGGAGTCAGTGACTAAAGGTCTCATCAAATGGCTTAAATCAAATACAGGGTTGGCAGATCCTGCCTGTTTCCTGGACAGCTGTGACCTGCACAGAGCTTAGACTCAATGTTAGGTAAAAAAGTTGGGAGACAAAATGGATCAGCATCTCAAGGTCAAAATTAAACCAGGAAGCTGTTTTGCTTTTAAGTTCAATCAGTGAGTTGTTCAAAGCAGAGGGAGAGAGGAAAACATTAAAAACCTCCAAAATTCATTTAAAAGAAGGTCAGAAATAGTTAATCCAAAACTCAGTGCCTGAGCCCCACGTGCTTTTTCTCAGAAGCACCAGAATATCCCACAGGCCTTTTGCTCTGTAGGAAAGCCTGTGTTCAGAGTATTGGGAAATACTCTATTCTGAAGGAGGGGACCCAGATGCTACAAGTAAAGTGAGTGGGGAAAGAAAAAGAAGAAAAATATCCCTTTAAATAACTGGTTGTTCTTCTTTCCAGAGTAGCCATTCTCAACCAGGGCAATTTTGCTCCTGAGGGGACATTTGACACTGCTTGAGGTATTTTGGGTTGCCATATCTGGAAGGGAGGTGCTACTGGCATCTACCAGGTAAGGCCTGGGGGCCCTGCTAAACATTCTCCTATTCAATAGACAGTCCTTACAACAGAGAAATTGGTCCAAATGTCAACTGTCCTACTGTCTGAAAATCTTGATTTAGAATTATAAGTTTAAAGTTTCACCTCACTTCTTTCCCATCAAGCAGGCTTACGAACCCAAGTTGTAATATTAAAATAATTACAACTATGCAAAATATTAATGTGATGATTCTGGATTCTCATGCATATGTGCTGCTGATTCCTGGAGGACCATAAGACTACAGATGCCAGTTCCTTGTGGGCAGTATTGTTGCCCCAGCTCACTTTCTAGTATGGGCTCAATGTATTTCCTACTGGCTTTGGGGTTTAACCAAAAGCAGAATTTTGGTTACCAGCAACAAAGTAAGATGATCTGGCCCATACCCAAGTTGTTAGGAAGCCAGATTTATAAAATTCAGTAAATGAATGGAGAAGTAGGTTGTTCATTTTAGCAATTCTGTATCAGATAAATCTACTAAATAGAAAATTCCCAGAAGTAAAATTCACAAATGTGAGATTACTATGCCTTTCTCCTACCCCAAGACAATATGATGGAGCCTGATTTTATTTGTTTAATACCTTAGGGGACTGACACACAATCAATATCCGAAAAGATAACACGGAGTGCTTGCTAAATCCTAGTGCTTGTTCCAAGCAACTTTGTATCCTCCAAACTGCCTTTCTACAAGGAAGTGCTGGGGCTGTTCAAGGAAGGCCATGTCCCTCCAGGCACTGTGCTCACATTATGGAAAATAGTAATAGTAATGATCAACAAATGCTGGTGTTGGTGAAACTTATGAAAGGGAAGTTAATTGCTGGGATCAAAATAACTTAGATGTGGAAATAACTTAGATGTTGGTCCAGACAATGAGAAAAACTTCCCTGGTTCAATGCTTAACCCCTGAGTTGGATCATCCAGAAAGGAGAAACCAGGGCAGACGTCATATTAAGATGGAGGGAGCCACCAGAAAAATGTCTTAGACACTGTAAAGCCATGTCATCTCCGCCAAGATATGAATCAGAGGCACCTCAGGTAGGTGGTCATTTTAGAACTAAAGGCCTCAGTCAACTTCCAAATGATTCAAAAATGCCTGGATTTCTTCCCAAGAAGTAGCCACGTAGTCCATATAAAAATATTGAATGACATAATCATTTATAACCTCTATAGAGAACTATATATTGAAAAAAATATACACACTGAGGCCAAATAAATACGCCCTCAAAGTTCTTCCTGAGCAACACGGATTTCTATACTGTTTGTCACCGCTCAGTTCTAACCCAATCAGGAGATATCTGCTACAGAAATTGATCTTCCTATTTCCCCAGAAGATTATTGAAAAATACTACAGGAAGAACACAAAACAGACTGTCATGATCATTTTTTCTCACCTGGAGCCCCTTGAGTGATCAGTTCCATGTTGCTGACTTGAAGACACCGAGGTTTAGCATACAGATTCCATCAGGCTAATAAGAGAGTAGAAACCTTGATTCTAATCCAGTTTTGCTTATCCACAAAGATTCACTCACAACCTGTTCCCAAATTATAGCTTTGGAGGGCAAAAGCCAACAGAAAGCCTAGGGCAGTCCTGTGTGTGTGTGTGTGTGTGTGTGTGTGTGTGTGTGTTTAATCAATGAGTATTGCTTCCCTCATGTCCTGCTAAGAGTCCAAAGTTTCTGTCCCTCTGTGGTAGCAGCTCCCAAGCACAGGGCAGGAGTGCTGCTGTCCACAGGGACTGTATACGCTGTGGATGTTCACTGCCAGCGCATTCTGGCAGACAACTCAGCCCAGTTAGCAAATAATTCCAGGTGCCTCACTCTCATTTTAGGAAGGTCAAGTTTACAAAGGGGAAATGGCAAGCAGGACTCTTGTCAGTCTTAATCAGCTTGTAAATGCAAGCTGTAACTAAGTGTAATATTCTTATGGAACTTAATTGGAATTGCTAGTTTTAAACTTTCAAAACATAGTGTACAGCCATCATCTCTTGTCCTAAGACTAGTTGAGCTCCTCTTGAAAGATGGGATAAAATGATGAATGAAAGAAGATCCATTATAATACAAGGGGAAAAAACGCTCCAGAAAACCTCTCTACCAAAGGCTACAGGTTAATTTGTGATGGCTTAATGAAACAGGGGCTGAAAACCGGTAATATACTTTTGGCCAACTCCAACTTCATTTAGCTATGAAATGAGAATAATTAAAATGGAGCTCCCTGTAGAAAAGAGTTCACCCAATAAGTTCCCCAACTTTCAAGGAGCTTTTGTTTCATTAGATGCTGTTAGCTTCATGTTAGTCACAGGAAAAAAAAATGCCCACATCCACACGCACGACTAAATGTAGTCAGTTTGCTCAGCTGTTGCTGACGTCACTGCTGCCCACTAGGAGTGAGTTACTGTAATAACCCCGTTTTATTAATCATAGGCTGGAGGAAGCACAAAGTGGGTGACATCATTAGTCAAAGGACCAGCTAACTCATGCTCCAATTTACTCAGCTTTATTATAACATTTCTCAAGTGTCATATGAAAGTGATTACCATTTCACACTTTCCCCTTCTGAGCAATCATCCCTAACCTTCAATTCAAACTCCCAGAGAAAAGCTTAGTTTTTCAGATGGAGGCATGAATGGGCCAAATCTCACTAAGGGTCCTTGTTGCAGGATAAGAATGTCCTCTTCAGAATGAATAGCTTCATCCTGGGCTTAAGATGGAGTCAGTTTCTAGAACGTTAACATTCCAAATGACTCTGAGCTTACTCTGGTCCTGGTGGTAGCTTCCAGTTGGAGAAGAAAATTATGATGAGCAGGACCTTGATGACTTAGATGGAATGCGCCATGCATGACCATGCATGACCATGCATGACAGGCTGTGCATGCCTGGGCTCTGAAATGTCAAAACTCCATTTGAAGACTTGATATAAGTTGTGGTTAGCAGGAATGGTCTTGTAGTTAGACCCTCTGGGTTCAAGTTCAAGATTTACCACTTTCAAACTAGAAGATGCTGGGCAAATCACTGTACCTATCAGCAACTCAGTTCTCCAGATTCGTAGATGATGGTGATAATGCTCCTCCTATATAGATAAGATTGTGGTGAGGGATGAATGAATTCATACATCCAAGGCACATAGGACATGCCTAGCACATAGTAAATGTTGCCCATGGTATTATTTCTCTTCTTTTCTTTGAAAAAGCTTTGCTGGCTGAACTGAACCTTCTGTGTTGTGCCCAGGAGAACTGAAAAGATGTGGACATCTTTCACTGGAAAGATGTGCAAAGGTTCTGTGACCAGCCACCAGGGTGGACAGGGAAAATCCAACTCCACACTCAACTCTGATACTCACTTGAGAGTTACCAATCAGACCACCTCTCTGTGGTCCAACTTCCCACCTACTACAATTTATCCCTTGGAGAACTGAAAACTAAAAGAGGAACTTGATTAAAACCAAAACAAGACAGTAGGTCAAGGACTCAGGAGCTCAGCATAGTGTTGCTGTCACTTCTTTTTGAACAGACCAATCTCACAGGCTGTTCAATCTCTCTCTCTCTCTCTCTTTCTCTCTGGAAAAGGAGTGTCTCCATATTATTGTATGCATTAGAGCAACAAATGTTTTTACCACAACCTGAGCTATACTTCATCCTCTTAAACTAGCATCTTGGGGCCCTTGCAAAGCCATTTTATAGATGTCTTCACTCATCCCTTATTTACAGTTCCATCCTGAGGGTATTTTAGGGAGTCAAAATAAAGCTTACTTAGGCATGAGTGAGAGACACAATGACAGACCAAAAGAGAAGGCTGGGGCTTTATAATATTTAGATAATGATGAAACTGACTTTGTTATTGCAGGATGCAGTAATTATATAGGCTAATTTATTACTTGGGTTCCCCTTTGCTCAGTATTGAATTTTAAGCCCTCTACAAGATAGCAGTTTGGGCTTCCAGAACAATCAGCTGACACAGGAAGGAAGTATAAAACCATGTTATGTGATAAATAAAAAAATAATATATAGCAACTTTAGGATCTCCAGATTGGAAGCTCCCTTTAAACAACAAAGAATGCCAGGTTGTTTGCTGCCCCCTAACTGGTACCATGGAGAATAGCACATACTTTTAAGAAGTGGAGGAGGATTCAGGTACAATTGCAGTAGTTGGTGGCTCAGCCAACTTCATAGGTTGTCTTTGTGAAAGTGGCCACTTTCATGAACGTGTGTGTGTGTGTGTGTGTGTGTGTGTGTGTGTAAGGCAGGTAGATTCATGGTTCACCTCTTTCCCTGATGAAGGGATCCTCCCAATTTCCAGAGGCTGCCTACGTGGAACCAGGGCAAAGGGTTGAGCAAGCACAAATCATTAACAAAGCGTATTTGTCAATACCGTGAATGGAGGGAGCTCTCACGGGGCCACCTCGTGTTACAATCCTTCCTTTATGAAAATTTCTGACAGACTGAGAAAATGAACGTGACCACAAGGGAAAGTGAATCCTACTGATTTCTGGAATGTTCCGGACCTCCAGTAATTTAGCCTTAGGCCACTGGGAAGAAGCAAGACGCCCTCTTCTGGTGTATCTGTGTAGAAGAAACTCCTACAAAGGTAGCAACCAGGACGCCTTCTCTCTGATCTCTCTACTCCTGATCTCCAAACCACTGCTTTTTCAATGACACCCACTCTGCTTTTAAAAATAGCACAGTTTCTTTGTATAAAATATGAGATCTACAGATAAGCATAAAATGTAAATCACACGTGCTCATTCTTCCCAGAAATAATAATCAAAATTTCAGCATATGTATAAAACAGATTGGCAATCAAATCATAATTCTACATAATTCTATTCTGATATTTTCACAGGTCATTATATGCTGACTATTTTCAATGGCCATTTTTTTTTCCTGAAAATATTCATGCCTGGAGACTAATCTCTGAAATAGATGTCTTTATTTTTAAATCAGTCTATGTTTTATTGTACACCGAAACTGTTCAAAAATTCCATAGTTTACAATGATATTTGACCACACTTTTAATTACTTTTTAAAGATAAAATCCTAGATGTTGAATTGTTGGATCTAAGCTCATGAACACATATAAGATCTTCACATATATTACCATTTACTCCATAAACATTTCACCTGTTTACATTCCAGCTAAGAGTATAGGGGCATGATTCCTTTCCGATGTTTGAGCCTGAGTATAATCGTAGTTCCCTTCTTTTCATTTCAGGCCAAATTTGAGATACACTTTGTTGTAATTTGGGATTTTTAAAATTATTACTGAGGATTAAACATTCTACTATACATTTGAGCACCTTTCTTTGGAGTCTCTGTGCAGGTCATATGCATTTATATTTCAAACAATATTTCACTGCATTCAAATTTATGCAAATAAATTTTATTCATTGTGAGAAGTCTTTATGGACCTTAATCCATTGCCTGCTACAATATTATGGTATTTTTCTTCCATTTGTTCTTTGCCCTTCAATTTTGTTTACAGTGTTTCAGGTTTTTTTTTTTAAAGGGATCATGTTTTTTTGTAAACTAATCTATGAATCTTCGTGCTGCATTTTCTCCATACAGACATCAAATTGATATCCATTTATATTTTCTTCTACATGTTCTTTGCCACTACAGTCTTTCTTCCAAAATATCTGAAATATGGTTTGGCATACAAAGTAAAGAAGAGCTATACTTTTCTTCTTCTTTTTCCAAATATTGAATCAGCACCTTTATGGATTGCACTTTGGCAATGTCTTTCCTATCACCTGTTGAATGTGCACAAATACAAGCCTTAGATTTCACCTATTATTTGTTCCCGAATTGTCTATCTTTCTCCATTTGTGTGTTTTTCTAGTTTTAGTGCTGTTCTTTTAACTCTAATTTGTCTTATCTATAGTCTTTTTAATGTATTTGACTCACATCCACACCCAACAGTTATCTCATTTAAAATAACACTCCCTAGGGCTAGGACATTTTAATAACTGTAGGCAATTCTAGGTTTCTCTCCCTGTAGCTACTCAAAGTTTGTGATTTAATGACAGTGTATAATTAAATGGTATTTATTTTTAATTGAAATAAGAGAGAGAGGAGGGAGGGAAAGAGGAAGGGGGTAAGAGAGGGATAGAGGGAGAGAGGGAGGAAGGAAGGAAGGACCTTTAGAATTTACACATACATGGAAAATCAGAAACATAATAATGTTTCTTGTCTGTCCAGAAGTGGAGACATCTTTTCTCATCTTAGGGAATTCTCTTCTGTTGCATTTTTTACTAGTGTGTGTGGGGGGGGGGGTTCCTAAAAGTTTTGGATAGTGTAATAAATTATTGATTTAAATTTTCTATAGCTTTTAGTTTGCACTTTGCTGTTTTGTTTCATTCCTTCTTACTGGTTGCATGATATATGTAAAACCCTTTGTAGCTATTGTATTTCTTTTCTCTTAACTCATTTTTAATAGAATAAGACAGTGAGTCCAGTATTTACCCAAAAATAGTAGATGCATTTTTATGTGCAGTACCTTGCTTTTGACTTTCCTGAACACACATTAAGGACTGTCTTAGCTCTTTGGTTGGAGTGTTGGGTTGGAATGGCCTCTGGGGCCTGGTGGGCAGGGATTCTGATGTGCCTGCAGCCAGGCCTGATTCTCACAATGTGGGAGCACAACCAGTCCTATTAGGAGAATACCCTGTGGTCTCTTTTGGTTCCCTGGCTTTGGAATTAACTGAGTTTCAAAGATGCTGCATTGGCAGCCATTTTCTTTTGTGCTGCTGCATATATTTTGTTCCATATCATCCTCATATTTACAGCTCTTGTTCCTCATTTTCTTTTCTCACAAACCTTCCTTTCCTCCCTCCTTACTGGTGAGCTGTGCCACTATGAACAAAATGTATAACCAACTTGCCTTCGGGCAGTGCGGGCTGGCTGATGCTTACACTCAGCCTGACTCCTGCTTTTGTCTTTGGGTCTTTCCACCTACAGCTGCCGTGCTGAGGATTGCCAACCTCTTGCTAGACGCTTGTCTTTCAGCAAGCCTGAAACAACTAATGCTTTTTTTAAATTATTAAGTTTATTGGTATGCATTTTAGGTATACAATATGATGACATTCATCATGGGGAATCTGTACCTTTACATGATTGGCTCGCTTTTCCCACTCAGACCCTGCTACCCCAGAGTCCTTGTTGGCATATTAATCTCCCAGGTCCTCCTTCTGGGAAGGATCTCAGCCAGCCTTAGTTCTGCACTCCCTCTCACAGAGACCATTTTAGGTCCATGGGAAACATACAAATTTCTGGCCCACTCTGGTGAGAATATGGTTTCTCCACAAACCTAACCTTCTCATTTTATTTTTCTACCTTGCCATGGACCAATTTACGTTTTTTCCAGCATGAATCAGACATCCTTGTACAGGGTCCTCCCAACTGCAGGGAGCACTGTGGAGGTCTATGTTCTGTTGTTCAAGTTGAAAGTTAACTCTTTCCTGGCAGGAGAGGTGGGACTTGCACATCAGGGGTGCTTTTCCTGAAAACATCTCACAGAATCCTCTTTCCTTACACTCTTGCCATCTTTTATAATCTCATGGTCTGTAAGGAGCTTTAAGAATCCTAGACTCTATTCTAGATATCTACTTTAATGATTCCTCTGCAGTAGTCTATATGACCCTCACACTGGTTTCTGTGATAGCTATGGGATATCTTGAGCTCTGAGTTAGAATTTCAATTTTAAAACACCATAGACCAGGAACATTTATTTCCTGTTATTGCCCAAGTGAAAAATAAAATTCTATTTCTTCTAAGGCATCATGATTTTGGGATCTGTTTCTTACAGCAAATAATGCCTTCCTGGGCAAGAACAGAGCATGTGAAAAACAGAAAGTTAAATACAAACTCTTGAGGACCTTCATGTTTCCTAGGTAAGTGGAAGAAGAGAGCTTGGGAAGGATTTTGAGAAGGAGCCAGATGTGGATGAGAAAATCAAGGGGAGACTATTGTCAAGGAAGCCAAGAAAAGTGAGAGTTTTGAGGTGTCAGATGACATAGGTGGTAAAGTAAAATAGAACAGAAAAATCCAAAGATGTGACAGTACTCAAATTGGTGCCAGCTCTAGCCCACCTGGATCCACATCATCATGAGGAGCCATTTTTCAGTGGGAGAAAAAGGAATGAGAGAACTAAGGAGATTCAGCTGTGATCGATCACTCTTGCAAAAGGTAGGAAGAAGTGGAGTAATAACTGGAGATGAAGGGACTGAGGATTGGAAGAAAGCACGTTTTAATTTTTAGCTATTAGAGTGGATGTCCCTCTTCTGAGAGAAATGAGCTAATAGAGTGAGAGAACTTAAAGACAGAAGAAAAGAGAGGCAAGTGTCCCACGGTGGTAAGAAATGATGGATTGATTTTTTAAAAGAGTAACGCTCAAATCACTTTGTTCCTCCTCCATCACTGTCCTTGGGCACAGCCTTCTTTGATCAATGAAACCTTCCTTGATTGCTCAATATTAAGTAGCGCCTAACTCCACTTGGGCACAACTTATTCTCCATTACATTTATTTATCACCATCTGAGATATTTATTTATTTATTTATTTTACCATTTACCTGGCACTTCATAGACTGAAGATAGATGCTATTTTGTTAAAAGCTAAATCTCAGCACCTAAAATTATCTCCAGTGGATATTAACTGCTTAAATATTTGCTGGCTGATGAATGAATCCCAAGCCTAGATGGAAGTATTAGCTTTAAGCAGGAAGAAAACCTAAAGGGTGGGTATAGAGAGACATGACTATAACTAGCAGAGAAAGAGATGAAGATAATTTTCATCTGCTTTAGCTAATTTTCACAGAGCAGGAGGAGGGAGTTCCAGCTGCTGAGACAGAAGGCAGTGGTGGCAGTGGTTGTAGTGGGAGAGGACTGGGAAAACAGCTGAAAATTGTTTTTGGTGGGATATTCCTATTGTTGGATCTTGAAAGCCTCGCAAATGCCCATGTGTTGAAGACTTGGTCCCCAGCCCATGCTGCTATTGGGAGGAGATGGGGCCTGGTGGAAGGAAGTTAGGTCTCTGGCAGGGGGACAGCTGAGAGGCACGACTGGGACTCCAGTCCCTCTTGTTCCTCTCTTTGCCTCCTGGCTGCATTAAGGAGAACAGCTCCTCTGCCACACACTCTCACTGTGATATCCTCTGTCGCCAATGGTCCAAGGGCAATGAGGCCAAGCAATTATGGACCGAAGTCTCTGAAACCATGAGCCAAAATGAACTTTTTCTCCCTTATAGGTTGATTATGCCCTGTAATTTGTCACAGTGATGGAAAGCTAACAGAAAGATAAAACTAATTCAGGACTGCTCCAGGCAACCAAAAGAATACTGTACTGAAATAGAACGCACTGAAGTTCTCAGGAGCATCAAGCCACATAGCTGTTCTGTCTTGTCCAGCAGCATTTTTGATTCCAAGGGACAGAAGAGACCCTTGTAGACCCTCGTAGACCCTTCTGCTGTAATGAAAATGCCCTATAATCTGTGCTGTGGAGTAGCGTGGCGTGTGAGGTGTGGGTGAGGTGACTGGTTTCATACTGGACAACACATGTAGACTCACCAATAGTCGGATCCTGGCACAACAGTAACCAAACTTGACAGCAGCGAATGTGCAAAAGAGGAAGAGTCAGTGATAAAATTGATAGGTATGCTCAGGAACCTCATTGGTGGAGGGATGAGTGAAGCCAGGAAGCAACTGAGATTTTGTGAAAAATATCATCATCCAAGGATCAGAGGTATTGATGACTTGGGGTGTAGCTATGTTTGGAGGGTTGAGGGAGTGGCCAGAAGTGGTTCTCAGAGAGTGGAATGTTGAAAATGAAGATTTCAAAGGGCAAACAGTTGAGAATAGTGAAAGAGGGCAGGGCATGGTCATGGGGATGGATTTCTTTTGTGGAGTGGCATGAAAATCCTTGATATTAAGGCATTCAGAGAGAGTTGATGAATTAAAAATCTAGGGTTGTTGTAAGGTACTGAAGACACATAATAAGATCACCAAAAGCTCAAAGTTGTTGTCTTATGAGAGGAAAAATCCAATGGATATATTGCTGCTGTTAGTAAATGCACACATTTGTAGTCTTACCACAAAGTATTTGATACATGTGTGATCTTTAATCCACTGAGCAACCTTTTAATGTAGGTCTTTGTATTATTGCCTTTTACAGATAAGGCTACGGAGGCTTAGAAAGACCAAATCACTTATCCAAGGACATACTCTGAAGATGGTCTGGAACTAGGATTTCAGTCCAGGCAGTCTGACACTAAAGTGCATGCAGTTTGATACTGAGTTCTCTTGCCTTCTTATATATGGTAACATTGGGTAGCAATAAGTGCCTGCTCATTCTCACCCACTTCTCCCAGATCTGAGACCCTCATGAAAACATGTGTGGTTGAATGGAGAACTTAATGCTAGACAGATCAGATGCATGCAGGCAGATGCATGCAGGGTAAAATCTAAGCGACAGTGGCGGCTTGTTCGTAGTAGGATATTAGGAAAGAATTCAGGGAGAACAAGGGGATGGAGCCACAGAGCCCATTGGATTGATAGGATTCCTGGAAAGGGCAGAGTTCTCAGAAAGCAATGATTCAGGATTGTACTAAAGGCTGGCAATCAAATAGTAAATTGGTCTTAAACTTTCCCTCTGAAAATATAACATATGTGGTATCTACGATATTCACTTCTCACGCCATGAGAAAAATCTTAAGCATTATGTTGACATGTATTAATATATATTAGAAGAATGAAAGAAAGAATGTAATATATATTAGAAGAATGCAAAATTTGGTGGTATGTGGTTAACATAGTAATATGCAACTGGTTTGTGCTACACCTGTCCCCAGGAGGATATTACACAAGATAAAACCTTCAGGAAACATAAAATAAAAATGAGGCTAAATCTTGGAATCCACTCACATGGGTGGTCAGAATAGGTAACTTATTTTTCTTTGCATTGTTACATTAAATTTCTACTATGAGATTTCTATTTGCCATATGCCAGTAAATGAACCTTCCTCTGTCCAAAGCCTCCAAATTTTGGAATGGGAGGAGTTGGTGTAGTGGTGAAGAATTACAGATCTCATCTAATTTCTTCACAGTCTTAATGGCCTGGAGAGAAAAAGGTAGTGATCATCATCTGTCTCTCTTATGTTCACCAAGATGTGTTTCTTTCCTTCTATGCAAGTCACAGCTAAGTTGTTCCTCATTCTTAGCTATGATGCCTTTTCTATTTTTCAAGTCCTAGTCAGTATAGTACAGAAAAAATAAAAAGAATAAGCAAGACACCAATATGGAGAGAAATTACAAATATTTCTTGGTAGGTGTTACAAATTAGTGCAAGTATGATTTTTGAAGATACAAATTCATGTGCAAGACATGATATATTCCTTTAGTCTTCAGATCAACACAAATAAGCAGGAAGTCAAAGCCCTGTTATGATTTTTGCTTTCCACCAGCTCAAGATTTCCTGGATTTTATTCAAAGTCCCTCTGTTCAAGCCTCCCAAGGTTTCCACTGGTCAGTGCTGAGACTGAGCACCTTAGCTGCATAACTCCACAAGGACTGAGACCTCGCTACTCTCCTTGGACACCTTCCCGAGTCCTGTGAGTCTTCTCCTCTCTCAACCCTCTCCTTCTCTCCTCTCCATGTCTAATTCATTATCCTCTCTCTTACCTGTACCAAACACCTACCATTGCCTTTCCCAGACTTAGGGTGAATATTCCTTGAAGAAGTACTAGAGGAAAGACCTGCCTTTCTACCATTCATATTGGGCAAAAAGAGTGAAAGGGAGAACAGACACTAACGAATTTTAAAGTAAATTATATTCACTAGAACTATAACAGCTTACAAACTAATATGCCTGAGCACAGAACACAAATACTCAATAATTAATGTACCCATTATAATAGGAAAAATAATGTACTATACCTAGACATTGTTTGGTGTTTCTCTATCCTCCTTGTTTTAAAGGTGAGAAGAAAGACACATAAACAAACCTGTCCAACTCTATGCAACTATCCAGTGGCAGAACTAGACTACAAATTCAGCTCTACCTGGGTCCAAAATCCATGCATTCCATGGATTGTAACATATTAGTAGAGGCTGCGTTTGTAGGGTCTGTACTATGTGCTGCACATATTGCTAAATACCCTTCATACAGTATCTCTTCTCATCTTACAGTATCCATTTACACAGATGTTATCAACCCATTTTACACATGAGGCAGTTGAAGAACTTAATGAATTAATTCCTCATTCATTCTTCAACTGCAATCTGAGTTTTCCCTGGAAAGCCATAAAGTTGTCCTGATAAATATTACCAATAATCCTCTATATAGAAAATTTCAGGGCATCTGCTTCCTTCCTTGGCTACTCCCTCCCCAAGCCTCTCTTATCCATGGCTACCCTGACACCTCATCCCAGGAGCCCCACTCACTGTGGTTCACTCCCAGGCTCTCTACTGGGGCCTCTGACCCTTGTTTTTCTGCTCTTCTCTCTCTAGATTCAGACTTTCTTTGAGTGACTTGTCCATTCTGGTTTTAACTGTTAATGATGGTGATTTCCAAACCTCTCTGTGGCCCCCACCTCTTCCCTGACTTTCAGACTCTCACTGACGCCCACTTGTTGACTTTACCATTCAGGTGTCCATCAGACAACTTTAGTATCACATGTTAACATCATATTCTTCTTCTTTCCCCTCACATAAGTCCATGTTTTTGAATTTGCAACCTACTTGTTAGTGTCCAGTCACCCAAGAGTTACTCGAGTACATTCTCTTTTCTACCACTAAATACCATCGATAATCACATTTTAATCACTTACCTTTTACATATATCTCTGATCTAGGATTTCCATACCGTTAGAAAAGTGGGAGAATGATAAAATAAGACTTAGGACCTTAGCCTAAGGTTCTACCACAATTAAAACAAAAAAACCTCAAAAAAAAACCCTCAGCTATTATTTTTAGTGATCTGTAAACAATAGCAATAACTGCCACAACAGACACACACTGTAGCCACCACAGGCCACCACCGTTAATTAATGAGATGTAGCATCTTTTGGGTTAATGCCCCTATTGTTCCCTTTTTTTTTTTTTACTTGCATATTTTCCACATCTTTGTTCTATGTCCAGGGACATCTCAGCTTTTCTTCCCATACTTTATCTACTTTTCTATATTTATTTATTTACTTATTTATTTATTGGTGTACTGGAGAGTGAACCAAGGGTCTGTCCACTGTACTACACCCCCTAGTCCCTTTTATTCTTTTATTTTAAGACAAGCCCTCACTAAATCACTAAGTTACCTAAGGCTCAAACTTGTAATGTTTCTGCCTCAGCCTCCCAGAATACTAGGATTCCAGGCATACACCACCACACCCTCCTTGTTCTCTTTTACTTTTGTTTTTATTTACATGTTTTCAATTTGTGAAAGCATTTGTATTATTCTCTGTTTCTTTTTCCTCCCTCTTTGGATTAAATGTCTTCTAAAAGGTTTTTAAGGACATTTTTAAAGATGCCTTTTAGAAAAACCACTGTCTGTTGTCTACTGCAATTATATTCTTTTTGCCACAACCTAAGACTTTCTGTTTGTACATCTTTCACGCCTTTGGTTTTCCTAGTGCTTGGTGTTCCTTTATACATAAGATGGAATATGTCAGCATAGCTGGCATGCCAACCCCTCGAGCAGGAGCAGGTATTTTTGGTGTAGGTTTAGTAGATCTATTTCCTCTCCTCTAACTCTACGGTAGGAAACAGAGACATATTATTTGGTTTGGTTTAGATCTCCGAATCTAAACTTCATATCTAGAAGAGTGTATGGCACACCGTAAAACTGAAAAACTAAGAACCTATTCCTTTCTGAAGAATTTTTTGGAAGGCTTTTCCCTTTTATAGGGAAGAAAACTGTTAGCAGAGTCTAAAGAAAGCCTCTAATGAAATATAGCCACTGACCTAGTCCTGGCAAAGAAATTGATTTTCAGCATGATCAATCCTTCAAGCTAGTTTTATCTCTTCCTATTTTCATTATAGAAACTTCCAGAAATTAAATGAAAGCAGAAAGAAACACTGCTGATCTGACAACTAATACCCTGTGCATTGAGGATCAGAGGATATGAATCTTGATTCCATTTGTGTAAGGGAGATCCTGAGAACCATCATTTAACTCACTAAACCCAATTTTCTCTAGATAGAGAGACCATAAATTGCATCCACTTATTTTTTCCCCCAGGCTTTTGTGGGAATTTAAGTAAATATAGGATATTTCATTCACCTTAGAAATAATATGTCTTACAAAATCCCACTACCAACCTTCACAGTTAAACTCATGCTGGTGCCATGGCCTGGGCCTACCCAGAGTGACATTACACATCTGGTAGCTCACGCTCTCAGAGAATGTGTTTGGAGGTTGTCACACACGAGTCAAAACTTGATTGAGCAAAATTCTCATGTCCTAAACCCCAGTCTTAACACTGTTGTTATTCTCTCCACATGGCCTGCTTGCTTCTGGGGATAATGGAAGTCAGCCTGACTTGTGGCTCTCAAAATTAGCTTCATACTCTCCTTTTGTTTCTTTTCGTGGATGCCTACTAGCTCTATTTCTTTTATTTTTCTTTACTTTGTAATTCCAAAGGTCATGAAAGCATGGTAAGACATACTCTCTATTAACATTTCCTAAAACATGGCTAGCCCCCTTCGGTCTGTACCCTGGTCTTTCTTTTCTCCCAAGAAGGTTTTCTTGGAATGAGTCGGGAATTATTTGAGGAATTATTCCTCTCTAGCTCCTATCCTAGCTGTCCATTTCATGGACCCCATTTCTTTCTTCTCTCAAGATCTATCCCTCCATAGGGTTCTTCCTTTTTCCTGAAGAGCTACTGAAGTTTCTCACTCTCCTTAGTGTAGAGTTTTACCCACTCTCCATCTTGTCTTTCATGACTTCTAGTACAGATTTTAATTCTGCAATTATAATTTTAGTTTCCATAGCTCTTAGTTCTTAGTCCCTTTCTTTACCATTTTATTTTCTTGTTAAATTATTCTATTGCTTTTATCACATCACCCTTTCTTTTCAGACCCCCCCCCTTCTTACACTATTTCAGGATACCAAACTTCTAAACTTGTAATAGTAAACTTGTAATAGTAGATATTAAGAAGAATGCCTGTCGGGGCCGGGGATTTAGCTCAGTGGGTTCGCTGCCTGCTGTGCAACCACAAGGACCCGACTTTGATCCCCAGTACCAAAAAAAAAAAAAAAAAAGAATGCCTTTCTATTGAATGTTTACATGGAAATGGGCACTTTTCTTTTTCAACTACTTAGTTCTCACTAGTCTTTTCTTTTTTTCTTTTCTTTTTTTGACTGCAGAGAGAGCTGTTCATATTTAAGGTTTGTCATTAGACAAGGACTGTAGATTCTTTGGCTTTGTTCTCCACCTTCTGTCAAAGATGAAATACTCTGAAAGGAAGGTGATTAGTAATGCCCAGAGTCTACAAGTATGTTTTTTAGGATCACTGATTCTGTGCTAATCCGCCTCAAATGGGATACATGAACACCTACAATCCCCACACATGTTTAGAAAGGAATTCACATGTCTCATCTGCAGGAGGGCTTTACCGAGGGGATGATGTGGCTAAGAGGCAGTGGTCCTGTATTTGTCCCTTCGTTTTCAGAAAGTCAGTATCCCAGAGACTGATGAGGAAGGTGATGGAGGTTAATAAAAGGAGAGGGGGGAGAGGAAACGGGCCAATATCTTGGCCCCTTTGCAAAATCCTACATATGCAATAAAAGGGAGAGTCGAGGATTGGAGGGAGGGATAAAGGATATTCCTGTTACAGGTGGTGCAAAGTGCCAATCAGTTAAGATGTTGTGTTTTGTTTTGTTTTGTTTATTGTGGTACTGGGGATGGAACCCGGGATCTTTTCACTGAGATACATCCCTAGCCCTTTTTAATTTTTTTTTTTTTTTTTAATTTTGAGACAGAGTTCTCTTACCTTGCTAAATTACCCAGGCTGGGCTAAAACTTGGGGCCCTCCTACATCTGACCCCAGAGTGCTAGGATTACAGGCCTGTACCACACTCCGGGGCTTCAGTTAGGGTCCATTAATCCGGGTGTTCCTATGCTGACTTCTACAGCAGTTTTCTGTCTCATGGCTGTGAGTAGGTTCAGCCTTAGGAGATGTGGGAGTCCCAAGCCACTTACCTTTGTTATGATCCCCAAGGCCCTCCTGTGCCCAAATAACTACCACCCACAAGCAGTATCAGCTAAGAAAAATTCACTCCTTTCCTCTGCTTTGAGGAATTGCCTAAGTGACCTGCCAACATTAAAATACCCCCAAACCTCTCCTGGTTTACACTGATCCCTAAGGCAAATGCTGGGAACATAGTTCTCACTGTGGGCTGAGAAAGAAGGCAGACACTGACAGCCGAGTTTGGCAGAGCTGTGGTCAGCCCCCTGAAGAACAGGGTGGTCAAGGAGCAATGCTCAACCTTGTGAGATATGAATTCAAAAACCTTTTTTTTTTCCTCTCCCAAGAAAGACAGCCAGAGTTTCCTTCAACAGTGACCTGCTGGCAGAAAACTAAAAGAGAAGGAGGATTCTGTGTGTATTGCAACATCTTGAGGACACAGGAATGAATAAAAAACATTTCACTGAATGTGATTAAAGCTTGTAATTTTTGCAAAGCATTCATAACAAATAGGACCAATTTGAGTTTGAGACCCCACCCTCCCTGCTACTGCCTTTGTTAGGGTGAGTGATTGTCCGCACTGCCACAGACGGCTGGATGGCTCGCTGAGGCTTTGAGAAGCCTTCCATGAATTATCACTGGCCACACAGCTATTAAATACAATAATACAAAATTGTAAGCAAGCAGTCCCAAGCCCAAGAATCTTCCTAGTATGGTCTTCAGAAAAATTGGCCAAGGAGCAGAGGGAATTGGAAGGAATGAGCTAACCTCAGATGTCCAGCCCCAACAGTGGGCCTGGGTTTTATGAATAAATGAAGTTGCTTTGAAGTGGTGTAAGGGAAGGATCACATAATGGGCTTCAGAGTCAGATGTGAGCTCTGGGACCAGCTCTGACATTGATTAGCTCTAACCTTGTGCAAATAGTTTAACCCAACTCTGTTCACACCAGCCAGAGGATTAAATGAGCTACTGGAAGACACAGAGCCAGCATCTGACAGAGTTTAAGTTCTCAATAAATTTGTTTCCTTTTTTGTTTAACTCCAGAAATGCAGGATGGTAAAACTGTTTCTTTACTATGTAATAATCCTACATGTATGGCTGAAGCAGAAGGACCACAAGTTCAAGCACAACCCAGGCAACTTAGAAAGACCCCGACTCAAAATGAAAAGTTAAAGAGAGGTCTGGGGAAGGAGCTGAGGACAAAGGCCCTGGGTTCAATGTCCAGTACTGCAAAAATAAAATAAAAATAAATAGAATGTCCCTTAACAAAGAAGCACCGACAAGGCACTGCAAGTGGCCAGGCAGCTGCAAAGACCCAGGCACTGAGCATGACAAGCTTCACTTTCTGCCTGATGGAGACTTCAAAGGCAAGGTCGGGCCCCCCAGAGGACCTGCTTTCCTCCAGGCAGACTGCATTTCCAGAGGGTTCCTGCTTCCAATGGACCCTATACTTCTTTTTACAAAATTACTTGTACTGGTATATGCTTGTGGTTTGATACATATTCATATCACATCTTGATCACTTTTAGCCCCATGCCCCTGCCTTCCCCTCTCCTCCCTTCCTCAGAACCCCTTCACATCTCCAGAGTCTACCTTCCTGTTTCTTACCACAGCTCTTCAAACAGTCACAGAAGGTTAAATATCGTGTGGTTTCTCTAACACTGTGACTGATTTATTACACTTAGTATCATGGCCGCAAGATCCATCCATTTTCTTACAATTGACTCAAATTTATCCTTCTCTCTGGCTGAGCAATACTCCATTGTGCACAAATACCACATTTTCTTTATCCTTTATCTCTGCTGTGTACCTAGGCTGCTTCCATGATTTAGCTCTGGAGGACTGTGCTGCCGAGCTAAAAGTTTACTCTTTTTTTGCTTCAACTTTAATTTATGCCTCTTTATAATAATTTATATACTTTTATAAGACTACCAAAATCCTTTTTTTGTGAAGATAGGTGTTAGTTAAGGAAAAAAGGCAAATAGGGAAATAGATTATTAAAAATTGTTTCTAATGTTTTCTATTGTCAGCCTCCCACTGCTTCTAAATTCAGCCTCCAAACTTTTGGCTTCTACTACCTTTCAGGGGCTGTTAGGACATTTATGATGCTTCATAGTTATTATGTGTTATGATCTATGTAAGAAATGTGTTACACTCATTAGGTACCACAAACATGTACAAATAAAAACATATAAAAAGAAACCTTTTCTAAAAAGTGACTATTAGTCAAGTTTTCTGTTACCTGAAACCAAACATTTTCTCAATTGAGATAGATGTGGAGAGCAATATAGTTATATCCCTAGGAAACTGTTCTTATTTACCATTACTGCCATATATCATAAATACAGCTTAATTGCTGTACTATATTTTAGGAATCTAGAGACTAAATTGTCATCTGAACTCAAATCTAAATGCACTGTTTCTTTAGGTTATTCTTTTAGCTTTCTACAATACAGTGTAGCTAAATCTAATAGAGAGGCAGACACAACATATCCCATGTTCCACCATTTTTCCTTAAAATACGGTTTAACTGCTTGTAGATAATGATCCGTAAGTCTAGAAAAAATCTGGAGTAAGATGAGGTTAAAATAAGAGAACAAGGGAGTCCACAGATACTCAGGTTATCCTAGGAATAAATAGTTTTGAATCCTAAAGCAAGATCCTTGAATTTTTAAAAATTAAAAATGCATATTGCTTTCATCACTACCATTCTCAAAACCCTGATGATATAAACAAATGGAAGACTATGTTTATGGGAACTGCTCCTAGTTAAGCCCAGCTGACTGGCCTGTGGGCTCATGGGTCTTCCAGTCCTGCTTTTCTCCATTTCTTCCCTTGATCATGGTGTGCTTTCTCTTGCCCACACTGTCCTGGCTCTGAATCGTTTGGATTGATTTCCCAACTGACATCCGCCTCTGCCCTGCTCCTCTAATTGTTGAGAACATTTTGATTCACCTTCTGGCATTTTGGACCTCAGCTCTCTTACAGTTTATGAACTCAGTTGCTCTTCCAGTGTGACAGCCTCCTAGAATTCCAGATTGTGGTCTCGGCCCAGCTGGACTTGGGGACGGTGGAACTCCAGGACACCCCATGGAAGAGCCCTGCCACTCTCCCCTCTCCCTTCACCTCCCAACACAGGAGGATTTCAGACCAATACAGTGAAGCCAGAGATGAAAGGATGGAGCCTGGCAGGCAGATGGCTTTTCTCTTGGTCAGAAACCACCCCTGGTTCCATCTGTAATAACCCTTTCTGGATTGAAAGGCTCCTGGTGGACAGAGTCAATATCATCTTGAATGGACCCTTTGCAATGAGTGGAAAGATGGGAAAACATGGTAGATAGAGGCTTGAATCTTTTCAGAAGTAAATTATTCAGCCATAAGGGGAGGAAAAACTGATTACACGAAGTTCATAGTTTGATCATGATGAGTTTGAGCAGCACCCCTACATTCTTCATCCTTTACCCCACCACAGCTACTCCACAAGGCTTCAATAGTAAAGATTCAGCTTTCACCATGACCTGGGTCATGGACTGTCTAGTTAAAATCATCAGGGTTCAGCTACATTAAAGTAGGTTTGGTAGAGGATGCTGGAAAGAATCTAATATTAGGTTCTTTGTGTGTGCTCCCAAATACTTTCTTTGATCAAACTGCAGAGATGTGCGAAAGAGGATCATTTTCAAATTCTGAGTCAAGAGGCCAAAAGTCTACTTAATGGAACTGTATTCATTGGACAAAACTATTATTTCATTTTGTGTATGAGTGAGAAAATCTTCATGTAATTTGTGCTTGCATGAAGAATAAATTGGAGGAAAGAGCAGACACTGTTGATAGGTCATCTACTCAAAAGCCACCTGCCACCCACTTTCCTCACTGGTTCTGATTTTGTTCGGCTCACCCCAGATTCCAGGACTGACTGGATTTCTCTCCTGCCACAGGGGTGCACATTGATTGATACAGGCTAACTATGATGGTTTTATTTTCTAGACCAGTGATTCACAAGAAATGGACACATTGCACAACTCTTGCCAGTGAGGTGAAGTCTGGAACTTGTGGGAAAGTTCTTCTTTCCCTTCAGAAAAAATGGAAATAAGAAAAGCACCTATTTTCCTGTCTCTGAATGTCATTATGAGAGGCTGTAATCCTGGGAACAGCCATCTTGTGACCTTGAAGAAGGAAAAGTCAAGATTATTCCAGGATAGCTGACATCATTGAGCTGTTATCTGGACTTCAGTGGAATTACTCAACACCCAGACTTCCTGTTAGGTAAGATCACCCTGCCTTTATTTATTCAGCCATTTTTAGTCAAGTCTTTTGTGGCTGGTAGCAAAATACATCCTGGGTGGTATAAAAACTATCCCTAGAGGCATAGAATCTGGAGATTATTTGGTTGGGGTAGAGGAGTTACTGAGACAGAGAAAAAGTGGCTGCCTAAGTTGTAGAAGTCAAACTTCCTGACAGGATCAGTGTGCATTTTTTCTCTACCCTACTGCCTTATAGTGAATGGCTTATTAATTTTAAGACCATTGACATACACTTGCATTTGAATGGTTTTCTTATGATTATTGCTGTCATTTTAAATAAAATATTTAGCCTGCCTACCAGGTAATGGGAAATATTTAGCTAGAGGGTTAGGAACTAGACTCAACCTTGTAATTTATCGCCTACAACTGTAAATCAAGCCTATGTCTGAGAGCTGCAGAGAAGGATAAACAATGACACAGCTGCCTCAGGTTTTTCAACAATCTATGGCAAGCCTGGACTTGCTCAACAAATACACCACACCACAAAGAGATGTGCTGCATTTAATCTGCAATCTTAAAGGTACTTAATTTTCATTATTGGTATTTAGACACCCTCGAGGGCTTCAATTAGAAATCTTTTCTCTTGTATTGCCATGTTGTTAGGTAAAGAGGAGCATGCGTTTTTTCAAACTTCCATCTTGCATGGCCTCTCAGGTCTTTGTCCAGCTGACACTTGCCTCTTGAGCACAAGGGATTGATGCATCTCTGCTTTACCTGGGGAATAGCAGCCCTGAGGTTCTTCAGAGGAGACCAGACTCCATTTGCAGAGAGGGGAACAGATACAGGGAGTTGTTTAAATCATACCATTTCAGAGTCTTGCAACAAGTCCTTGAAAAAAAACTGCTGTAAATAAGTCACATCTTCTCTATAATGCAGAGCTATGGTCCTGCCAAAACGACTTTGGTGGAAAGTCTTCCCTTTAGCTGCCTGAACTCTCCCCTGAGAAGCTACCTTATCCTGATCACCATGATTGAAGGATGCTAGGTGTGATTCTCATTCATTCCCTGCAAATAATCCTTTCCCTACCATAAGAAGGCCAAACCCAGCAGTCCTGCATGCTTGGGAAAGCTGTCTGGGTCATGGCAGCCAGAGGACCCCACAGTGACAAAGACAGTAGTGGTGGAATCATTTGACCCAGGGGCCTAACTTCTCCTGGAGAAACTTTGATGAAATGCTGACAGCAACCTTACCACAGCTTACATCTTCCCCTGTCATCCTGCCGAAGTAGCAACCTAGGCCACTTAGAGTGACTCTTGTGCTTGGAAGGTAGTCTAGTCTCCAGTGCTAACAATATTTGTATTTTCCCCAATTCTTTAAAACAGCAAAAGTCTCCTGGAAACGTTCCCATGAGCTTTCTGTGGACAGCTCGCAATGGTTTAGCCTCCCTGGTAGTGACCTCATTTATGACAGGAACAGACTGGCCAGTGGGGGCTTCTCCAGTTCTAAAATCACTTCTGTCTTGCTAGCTCTCAGATTTGTTTCATTAAAGGATATTTGTCTAATAACCTACAGGATCCTTCCTAATTTATTGAAAATCCTTTTGAGATGGAGATGGAAACGGAATTTGAGGATCAGGTATGTAGTCTTGTTGTCTAGAAAGCCCATCTTATTTCTGAGATGAGAAATTTTCCTTTCTACTTTTAATGTGTGCCAAATGAAAATTCAAGAAGCACGTCTGTGGAGGGCTATCTTCATTTAATCATTCATAAGAACTCATCTCATTTTAGTGAAATACACATGCAGGACTTACAATAGAGCCTTATTAAATCAGAATTTCTCTTTCCTTTTTCATTTGAATATGAGATTTAATTATATAAAACATCAATTGCTGCAAAAATGATCCTACACATGTATTTGAGCTTTGAGTGCCCTCTACTGGAACAAAAAAAGAGTGAGAAATCAATAGTGTAGAGATCTTTTCTGGGCCTGCCCAAGTACTAGAATGCTATTATCCTTAGGAAAACAATAGTAACAGTAAAAACTTCACATATCTCACTCATGGTGGACTGAGAGAGATAACATTTTTTTTCTAAAATTTACTTTAAAGTAGACTGCATGCTGTGTATTTTGTGGATTTTACATTTCTGAAAAGTGTAAATGATCTAAAAGAAAAATTATAGTTGGGGAAATGCATGAAAAATCTAAAAGAAGAAGTGTCTTCCGCTTGGCCTTCTGGCTTATTTCCAGGGACTGATCTCTCCATGCTGCTGGTTTTTCAGTACAGCCATCACCTCTGGAACAACAATGGACCCCAAATCAGTTTCCTTCTTTAATCCTTTTCCTTACAAAACTGCTGGGTGACTTCAATTTGCATTTGAAAAGGGCATTTGGGAATCTCAGTTTCCTGGGCCTTTGACCTTTACTACTCTTCCCATTTCCTCTACCTCTTTGCTTTAATTTCATCTACTGCCACCCATTGGTGTCTCTGCTCCACCCTGGACCTCCTGCCTCCTCCATTCCCCATGATCATCACCAGACTCGCCCTGTACCACATCCCCTTCACACCTCCTCTACTCACTTCCCCCAAGGCCAAGTGTGGACTCACACTACTTAACCAGGCTCTCAACCCCTCCTTATTTCAACTGATTTCCTGACCTGTCTGGACTTCTTGGTTTATTATTTCAACCACACTGTCATCGACACACTCATTTCCAACAATCCTTTGATCTTCTTTATGAGCTTTGCAAATAGTCTATTCTACAACAGCCCGATGATTCATTCTGACTGGCTCTAGTTTCCAAGCTGTGAGGCATGGCTAAAGAAAGTCATGTTCCTCTGCTAATGACAGATGCTCATAGCCAGCTTCAGGTGAGAAGTCAGGACTGCTCAACAATGCTCTTTTCTGCCTGCTCTTTGTTTTCCTAATGCCTCAAGGAGTATTCAAACCTGTTTATTTTCCTTTCTTCTGATATAATTCGCTCCTTACATTTCAGAAAGAAGCTGAGGCTACTGGATCTTTCATTTCCTTATCCTGGGCTTCCAAACTTGTCTTTCTTTCCATTCTTTCTTCTTTTCAGCCATGAGATGCTAACCTCTTCCCCATTTGCCGCAGACTTCAGACTTTCTTAGATTTTGTCCCAATAATTCGTTTAATTTTTCTTTCTCTTCACAGGTAATTCTTTCTTGGGCTCACCTCAGGCTACAAATATTCTAGATGCTCCACTTTCCTCCCTTCCTCTTCCCAGAAAAGGCATGTCCAAGCCTACACCCAGCTCTCCCACAAGTTTCTGCCCATGTCTGCTTTGCTTCCATGTGAAGCTTCTTGGAACAATAGCCTGTTATCCTTGCTTCTACTCTTCCTCCACCACTAACACCTCAACATCACATGACTCAGCATGGTTCCATGCTTTTGCCATTAACCAGGAACTGTTCTGAGGGAAAACCAAAATTCTCTGTGACATCAGGTCCCAGGGAGTACATACCTTGTTATTCAGCCATTTTTATCTGAGACTACAGTCTAGAACAGCTGCTTAATCCCAGTCAACTGCTGTACCAGGAAGAAAGAGGTAGTGATAGTGTATCCTTCCCTTCAAGGGCCTTTACCAGAAGCTATGCATACCCCTTCAACTTGCATCTCATTGGCCGTAACTTAGTCACATGACTACACCGAGCTGCAAAGGAAACTGGGAAATGAAAGTCTTTATTGTGGTTGACTAGCTAAAATTGTAGTTTTCCTTTACTAGAGAAAAACAAGAAAAATGATATTTGGCCATTTTAAATTCTGTGTGTACTAAAATCTAGACAAAGACACAAAGAAACTAATGAAATTGAGGTTTATAAATCCAATAAAATGTATTTTTCATTTTTGTGTAATTTTATGTAATATTTATCTGATATTTTCTTTGCAATATGTACTGTAGGAAAATTATTGTTTTCTGTCTCAGCATACACTACATGTTTTCCAAATATTTACCAAACACAAGAGAAAATATATATTCATTTTGGAGTGAAAAGTAAATAAATACAGTCTATTTTATCCTATGAATATTATTACACTTTTAAGTGCCTAAGCTTTTAAAAAATTAACAGAGACAATGTCAATGACTACAACACTGCTACACTGAAATTTTTTTCTTCTATTTGCAAATAATTTTTATACAAAGTGAAAGTGATATGTTGCTGTTTTCAGTTCACAAAGACTCTTGACAATGGTATCAGCATTAAGGATTTTATTTTTTACCCTGCAGTGACTTGAAAACTATAATCTTTTATTCTAATTGAGTCTTTCACAGTATCAAATTATATTTCTTTTATTTCTTACTGTTTTATTTTCTAGCTTTTATTTTGATTTTATTTTTTATTAGTACGTGTTTGCAGTACATAACTATTGCATTCCTTGTGTGGAGTTGTTACATGCACATGACACATTTTTAATAGTTTTTTTATCCCCTTCCCTTCCCCTTACTCCCTGCTCCCTCCACCTCTTGATCCCCTTCATTATCCAAAGGCACTCAATATCAGAGCAAGGTTATTATAAGAAACAAGGCACATTATATATTTTAATCCATACATTTCTAATTCTTAGTATCTTGTGAGTGTGCTAGTATTTGCAGTAAGGAATTTGATACATATTCATTTTATCTACTCTCCATTTATCCTTCTTGATTGCTGTTAGTTGAAGTGGAGTAGTAGATCCATAATTTTATTATTTAGTTAATTTTATAATATGTAATTATTTTGAAGCAATTGTTTTGACTTGTGCACTTATATGTCTAATCCATATTTATAGTATACATCACTCCACATGATTTATTGATTTCAACGTTTACCTCAGGTCCTTTTATAGGACACTTCCGTTCTTAAGTAGTGTTTTAACTTCACACCTTCATCAGTGGAAGTATATCTTTGTTTTTGTGTTTGTTTGTTTGCTTGTTTTTTCTATTTATTAAACAAATGCTTGCGAGAACTTCTTTCTGACTGCTTACATTTTGAGAATTTTGAGATTATTTTAATTGC